TACTTGCGCTTAACGATTTGTGCTGACCTAAATACATCTTTTAAATATTACACGCGTCGCACATAGCCGCGCAGTTGTATTAGTATACCTACTATACAATTGATCATTATATAAAATCCAAATTATATAATCAGATATTGCGAGATATTAAGCAATGAGAAAAAAATTATAAGATTTTCGTGATAAGTAATTCGCGTGATTAGAAAATGATATTTATCGAGTCAGAGATTAAGTTAAATAAAAAAGATAGAGAAGGAGCTTAAAGGATGCAGTAGGTACGTGTTACAGTTATTTCTTTCCTCCTGCTTCTCCTCCTTCCCTTCATTCCTATATCCTTATTCTTCTGCGAGAGAACGATCCATTTTTCACAGAACACAAATACCACGCTGGATTACCGAAGAAAGCGACGAAGAAATTGGAGATCACGAAAAGAGATCCAATAAACCTATATCGGTTTCGTGGTATCGCATTACCCTTACCTTAGCGAAATATCACGTAAAAATATCGTTACGATATCTTTACTTTCCCCGCTCTGGAAACGCAGAACTTTTGTAAAAAATATTGTACATGCCATGACTCAGGTGACAAAAGAAAGAATCACTGCAATTTTCTAAAGCTGTTGTGAATTATACGAAACTTCGGAGGACATCAGTTGAATATAACTTTCGATGCCACATTTCGTTTCACGAGACAGATTTCTGCGATAGAAGGATGTATTAAGATGATCCAAAAATGCTAAACCATGAATTGATAAACGATCAAGACAAAATGGAATCGATTTTCATATAATAAATACCCATTCGGAAATCACTGACATTAAAAATTAAAATATCTCACAGACAACAAAATTAATAATTTAAATAACAAAATTGCAATTTGAGTGAGTTTTAAGTTTTCTGTAGCAATGGCATATTTTTTTATTTCTTTGCGATATGGCAAAATAATTTTACAAAAAAAATTATCTCTCATTCGTCAATCCATGAAACAATTGTCGTTTCAAAAAAATATAGTATTTAAATAATCAAAAGAATAATTCAACTTTACTTATTCTTCGAGTGTATATAGTTTTGTTAGATTCACCAGAATGCGCGAGAAGCAACGGTATCTTCCCTTTCTAACTTTAAAGCCTATCACGTATGAGTGCGAGCGCGTGCGTTCGCAATCGGTTTTCCTGACTTACGACCGTACATATTGACGAAGAACACAGCCGAGAAGAGTATAGTGGTTGTTGGTGGCGGCGGCGGCGGCGTAAAACCGTCATTACCGCCAATTACAATAAATCCCGCGCTGTATTCTCCGCTTATCGTTTTCCGTGCGTCTACGCTGGAGGTGCGGTTTAATCTATAATCCGATGTGAAGGGAATGGAACTCAGATATACGCGGTTCCAAACTTGCTATTGCATAGATTAATAGCGTGTGCCAGACATCAAATTATATAAGAAAAATAACTTCTTCAATGTAAAAGCGTGATTTCCACCGTGAAAACTCTTCAAACTTAAAGAATATTAGCGATTAAACTTCAAAAAAGTGTGTAAGATGAATGTGTGTACTGATGAATTACAAAAATTATATTCTCTAGTGGCTTTTCAAGATATTTAATACTAAAAAAAATTGTAACGCAGTCTCTTATCAAATTTTAAAAAGATATTTTTATAAAATGTTTAAATAGCCAACGTCGGGAGTGTCGCGAATGTCGAGACACTCCGTATAGAGTAGACGCTATATGTTTCAAAGGAGAGGAGGAACGAGAGATGAAGCGAAGGGAGAGTAATAGAGTGAGGGATCGACAAAAAGACGGAGGAAAGCGGGTGTGCGCAGCGAGCACAACTGGCGCGGCGCACGGGTAATCATTTTCCGCGGCTACACTTTCACGACTGATGATCGGGTAGCGTTTCAGCGGCGATCGGCACCGGCCAGATTTACTCCACCCCGTAATGCACGTATATGCGTACGCACGCCGGGCGTGCGTGCATACGTGCACGATCCATACATGTGTACGACATACATTCGTGGACGCGACGAACGTCGACGCGCGCCCGAGCTAATGCCGGTGTAAACGTAACCACCGCGCGGATACCACTTGGTGCTCACTCGCGGAACTCCGCTATACACCGCCTCGAGACTTCGCCGTCGCTCGTCTCGAGACAAGTGGAATGAACTCGCACACGCACCCATGGGACTTCCGCGAGGCGCGTCAGCTCGCGCGCTAGTAAAACCGGGTCCCGCTATATGTAGATGATTACTGATTACTCTGAATTGTAGTCGAACGTCGGACGATCGATTTCGAACGTACGGAATCGTGTGGAAATCTAACTGTATTATACGGTTATTTTAACTATAAACTTATACGGTTATACGTCATGAAATTAAAATTTTACAGCGGCCATTTTCATTACTTTTGGATAAAAAGAATATATATATATGATACGCTCGATTTCTCGAATATACAATTTGCCTACAACTGCCTGTCAATAGCGAAACTGTAAGAGTAAGTCAAATATATTGTGCAGCGTAAAATTTAATTTTAACATGTAAGATGTATTCTCAAGCTACCATACGGTGACGGAAATTCAATTTAATATTTGGGCTTATTCAGCTTCACGACTCTACATTTACCAGTCTTACTATAAGCCTGATATATATTTAACCGAGGAATTAACGAACTTGGCGGCTGTTAAGGGCACACAGGGTACAGGAAGAGTACAAAACAGAGAACATTGCCGGATGAGGCAATGTAAAAGGTAGATTAACCAGAGGTACTAGTTGAACTTGTTACGATTCTGCCTCTCGAAAGACTCCAGCAAAACGGCGTGGCCGCACGATGCACGACGCCCGTATTGGAGTGCACGTGGTGACTCTCCAGCGCAACCACAGCCGTGGTCCAGATAGATCACGTCCGATATAATTAATGAGCACGACCCGCAATTCCCATACACACCTCCAGCTCGCCCGGTCCGCCCTAACAAGCACCTCGGCGAACCTAAGCTAACCCAGGTAACCGAGAAGCCCGAGCTGTTCCGTTCGCGGCGAAGCGGCATTATGTAGGTATCTGGGTGAGAGAGTCCGCGCTTCCCTGCTCGCGATCTTTTCGGTAAAAATTGGCGATTACGATTCGGCCGACCGTACAATCGCCAATTATACGAACGGCATGTTGCCTAACGACGGTATACCATCGAACTGTAAGTAACCGTATCCATAACGTCTATAATAGATTTTTACAATGAAAGACATTGTATGTTTATCTGCTTATAACACAATTTTTAAATATAAATACTGTTAAAAATGTATCCTTTATTAGGCTTTTAAATATTTATTCTTATTATTGTATACGTACTTTTCATATATATTCATATTATGCTATGTTTGTACATTTATAAATGTAAATTGATATAATGAATACAACATTTGAGAAAGTTCCTAAAACGCCTAATATAAACGTTTTAAAAATAACTTAATTTTGATGAAATAATGTACTATTTTCGGTATTTCAATACCGAAGAGATAAACATAAAAAAATCGGTACCAAAAATTTCGCAATATTACTACTGTTTTGTTTTCTTTTTTTATTTCATGGATATAGCAAAAGTCTATAGACAGAAAATGTGATGCAAACACTGAATAATCTAATGTCCAATGATCCGAATATGTATTAATGTATCCCATTAAATTTTAACAAAAATATAAAAAGAATGCTACTGAACTGAATAAATAAGCATTTTATACATATTGTATTAATGCGGATAAAACAAGTGACTTTAGTTGCATGCGACATGCATGGATGCGAATAAGTCAAGTGGCGCGAGGAGCATGTCTCTGGATGAGGTCGTGTAGAGAAAGTTGAGATGCTCAAACTTTCAATCAGGATGTCATAAGCGTTAGGCAAAATAACGTTCGGTTCTGTATCAAATATATTCGTTGAGTCATATTTCCTCGCGCGAATTGTCACCGGCAAGACGTACGCCATTAAAGGAGACAAATTCTGATCGTTACGCCCACCCTAAATTCCACGTGACACACTGTGATCGAATAAAATCGATATCACCCGATATGGACTGTAGTCAGTACTTATTGATAGCTAAAAGTCATAGTGACGATGCAAAAGAAAAAATTTCTTACTATATAATATATCTACACCATAAAGAAGAACATTCACAAGTGACAAGACAGAAAAAATTATGAAAAACATCTGAAATTAGTACCAGAGCCTAAATGTAAAGTATAACGCGAAAAATTCGAAATCATCTCTTGTAAATATCTACATGGCGGTAAATATCTCTCGTTAATAAATTTTTGCTATATTGCAATTGCTTCATGATTATCATCCACTGTATGAATGTTTATAAAGATAAACGATAAAACTTTGTAATTGTAAATTATATTAAATTATATTAAATCCTCTTGATAATTCGATAAGCCGTATACCTACATTCGATGACCGTAATCTCGCGTCGACACTAGCGGTGCCGTCAAAGAACGTACATACGTTAAAAGAAGCGTACAATGTCCATTTGAATACAAACCACAACTATGGTTACCGCGCGCAAGGCAGTAAAGCGAATTGCAACACATATACCGTGTATGGGCAAAGGAAGGCTTCCCCGTACGTAATTTATGTTCTTGCTCTTAATGCGCTACTAGCAATGATTAAAACGTAATTTCCACGGATAGGAAGAAATACGGCGTACTTGCGTTTTCCTCCACTTTGATTTACGGCGCTTTATTTTTCTTCGTCCATGATTTATACCGACGATCGTTCTCCCGTAAACGCTCTCGCGAAACACGACGTCCGACTCATTCCACACTTTATCGAATAAAATCTAACAGCATATACATGTACGAACGATTCCCTTACAAGTTCAGCGTTATATTGTTTAAATTGTGAGGACCGAGTTTTTAGTTATATCGGAAAACAAGACTAAAATCTTCAAATTTTACTACCATGTGAGACATTATTTTATATAAATCTCATTAATCGTTAATTCGAAGTCCTCGAAACTTACCCCGCAGCATGCAGGAACTGGTAACTCCTCGTCCGCAGGCTCTTTCGACGCGCTTTCCTCTTCGTTCACAATGATCGTCAATTCCGAGTTGAGATCCGTTGCGGTCTCGGTTGCTTCTGGAACTTCCGCTATCAACGTGTCGCTCGAGTCGCATTTGTTGAGATTCGTGTCTTCCGTAATCAAGGTCTCGAGTGATATCGCCGCGTCTTTTTTTCCTTCATCACGGAAAAGCTCTGGTTCCTTTATCGGGGTTTTCTCGTCCGAGACAGGCTGCTCCGGACTCGCATCCCTAGCGTCCTCGTACAGAGATGTCCTGCTTCTGCTAAGATCGGCCCTGCGATCCTCCTCTAGCAGCCTGGTAAGAGCCTCGTGCGGACTCTTCTCAAGGTTCTCGCCCCTCGAGAAATTCTCCTCGAGCGTTTCAGGCGCGGGATCTTCGACGGGCGGCGCGTCGCGGGCCGCCTCCTCGAGTCTCTCTTCGGGGAATTCCGTGTATTTCTCCGGAAGTTCGTCGCGATCCTCCTGCTGACTCGCGCAGGCTGGAACGTCCTCCAAGTACCACGAAGAGCAGTTCTCCTGGCGTCTTTTCTCCGTGGCGCTCTCATCACCTTTCGACAACGCGCCCTTGCACTTCTTCAAATAGCTCTTCACTTTCTTGGTCTTACTCTTCCGGGTCTCTTGGCTGCGTGGCAAAGTATTGTCCACGTTATCGCCCGCGTCCACGGATGTTGTTACTTCTGTGGGCGGTCTCAATTGTATTTTCTCGGAATTATGCGCGTCTTTCACCTTGGCGTCGACGGCACCGTCAAAAAAGACGCACGAATCCTGTTGATCAGCAGCCAGGGTCCATGTCTCTTCTTTCTCCGGCGGCCGGCGATCTGCCGGTATCACCTATAACAAGAACAAATGTATGTTAACTCTCATGGAACATTATCATAAAAACAATTAAGTTCATGCAGGCTCGTTAATTGCTCGCGTTCTCCATTGTCGTTACGTCTATTAACGATCTGTTGTATGACTGTATCTCTGATGCATTATTGTAAATTTAGCGAATCGGTGGCAGAAATTTTCCCACAATACATTCACGTTTCGCGACTGATTAATTTACATAATCGGTGTTAAAAAAAAATCTCGATTGTGCACGATAAGAATTGCGTCAGCTCCTCGAAGGTAAGCTGAACGATATGGCGCGACCGGTCACTCGATCGCTTTCATAATAATCTGTTAGGTAGCACAGTACGGCTAGGCACAGCTGTATCGGCAGCAATCGTTCGGCTAGCTGTAATGCGACACGTAAAATAATGGACTTATAATAAATATCGACGAGAAACGACAACGACGACAACGATGGTGTCGCCGTTAGCTAATATCAACCCTAAGCGACGCATAACGATGACATTTTACGCCGCGGCTACGCGAAGCGTGCGCCCATAATACCATCGGGAATACAACTTCCTCCCGTAATATCTCCGATTTCATAATGCACCAGCCTCTTGGTTTCCTTCCTACTCTGAAATACGGCGATGCGCCGCTCTCGAGGACGTGAGTCATCGCACGAGTGAAACGCAATTGTAAAGTGCTCCAGCTACCTCCCCTACTCGCATCGGTAAGGTACGAGAACCAGAAGATGGGATCAAATCCCTCGCAAGCATAATAAGAAAAGAAAAACCAGGCAAGGTTTAATTTGCAGTTGTAAATAAATTACGATTGTATCGTTAAAAAAAACAAACGAACGTTTCGATGTATTTTTAATCCTGTTTCTAATATCTTAAAAATTATTAGTAATTAACAAATACAAAGTAATTGATACATTTCTAAGTGATCTTCTTACGGCTTTCATTTCTACTGCAAACTTTCCAGAAGCGTTTAATTAACTACTTTTATGTGTCTATATGATTCAGCGTAGCCTTGACAATGACATTATCTATTTCGCTGAATCTGATCACGTCACTGCCAAGGTTTCGCGATCCCATCTTCAGGCTTCCACATAAGCGCGCGAAAGTTGCAGACGAATATCCGTTCCCGAGTAAATCTTGGCCTAGCGGAGTTTGCATGTTTTTGCGGCGAGCAAAAATAGCCGCGCGAGCGGATCGACAGCGGCCAGAGCTGGTTTTATATCGTTCTCTGCGAGAGGAGGGCCTGCGAGAGCCCGGCTGGAGATCGAATCTCTGCGATGATGCGATAGCGAGATGAGGCGTGGGAGCGAACTCGGGCTAATCTTTCGAGCAGAGCGCTCTCATTCGGAGCGCGTGTCTCCTCCGTCCGCCGTCCTCCGCTCTTGTGCCATCAAAAAGGGAAAGTTCCCTCGAGTGCCTTTCCTCGCGCGTCGCGACCGGAAAAGTGCGCGCGAGAAATAAATCAAGAGCGTAATAGAACAGAGAGCGAAGCTGTTCATTGTGTCGCGCAAAACAGCCAAAACGACAGACGGCGGCCGGTTTATTCCTTCTCTCCCTCTCCCTCGCCCTCTCTCTCTCTCTTTCTCTCTCCTTTTCTCGAAGCGCGATCGAAAGAATGTTTAGTGCTTTAATCAAATTATTAACCGACAGCAAACCGGTGCTTTCCCCTCCCTCGTAAATTTTACTCTCGTTTCCCGTGGCGCGACCGTTAGGTACTTTATTACAATGAGATCCAAACCTATTAGAGAAACTCGGAACAACCGGACGCTGACTGGCTAGATGGTTAAATGAGTCGATCGACGGGCCCGTGTGCTAACTGCCTCGGCAACCAATAATAATTACTCTTTTCTCTGCGCCCCAACTACATACATATACATACGCACATATGTCATGTACGCCATAACTCATTTTCTTTCTTGATATGTGAAATCGGCATGTACATTTTGCGCCGCGTCGTGCTCCACTGTCGGACTGAATTGCCATAACGGCTGAACTATGGATAAGAGATGTGCATATGTAATTGTATGATACGTCATGTATATAGCGTTGCGTATTTGCACGGAACCGCTGAAGAAACGATCGTAGCCTACGGTAGTGCCGGTAACGAGAAGTCGCCAATCGTCAATACACGGGGCGTACAAATGGCCGCGATAGCGAATACGTACGATCGCTATGCAACGTCAAAGAGAGAGATATGAACGGACGTGAACGTGGATAATTACGCAACGAGTACTCAAGCGCACAATGAAATATCATGTCATCGCGAGCATTACGAAATGCGCTCCTGTGTGAGAAGCACTTAACCCGCGATTGGCGATGTTGCATTCGTCGCAGTCATGTGTAATTTATTAGCGTCACGTGGGAAGGAAATACGAAGGGAAAGAAAATCGAGAAAGTTAGAGAAAAAATTCGGATGTCTGATCGCTGGATTTTTTTCCAAACTTTCAAATGTCTAATGGACAATTCGTTATTTTTCCATTGTTGCGAAATTCGCCCTTCAGTTTATTCAATTCATTGCTAATATACCTAATACCTTTATCGTCACGCAATGACCTAAGATACGCGAAACTAGAAGGCACATTCCATCACAATATATGATATAGTCATCAATTACGGACCGCGATCCGAGACCGAACTCGTTGATACGAGAGAGAGAGAGAGAGAGAGAGAGAGAGAGAGAGAGAAGCGCGTAAAATAATAAATAATCTCTATTACACGCGCGTACAATAAATCAATGCCTATCTGGACTGACGTGTGATATGCGATTCCGGGTGCACTTCGCCGCGCGAACACATCCCCGAGCGATCCGGGACGCGCCTCTGCGAAGGAACGTCTTTGACACGGTGCGCCGAATCGCAAAGGCGCGCGATTAATCTTCGTATCCTCTCGCGTTACCGCGAAGGCGTTCGCGCGATATCGGCAACAATGTTAATTAGTCCGCGGGATAATTTATACCCCCGGCACTCCATCGCCGTCCGAGAACGGGCGCGGATCACTATAAGGGAAGGGCAGGGGAGCGCGGCTCCGGACGCGAACGTAAATCACAGACGAGAGACGCGACGTATGGAGAAAACCTGGCTCTTCTCGTCTCGCTCGAGAGCATCGCCGGTTAAATATTGAATGAAGATCCCGTCCACACACACACACACACATACACACACGTGTACGTGTAAGTAGATACGTGTATGTGTATATACCGAACACGATCGGCGTGTTAGACTGTCTCGGCCTCCTGGACGGTGTTACCGGTCAACGAAGCATACCACGGCGATAGCACCCACTTTATTACGGCGACCGTAAACATGGACGACGTATTTATCGACCAGTGATTCGCACCACTTACCTACTATAACCCGGCTCTCACGATGAAAATTACGAGTCTAATCTGAACACGCTATACACGCTATGAATGAGTGTGTGAGAAACGTGTGAATGTGTGTGTCCATCGAAATAACATGTTGATTACCTATCTTCGATAACTCTACTCGATAAGATGCAATTATTTATTATGTTTTAAAGCTTCATCTTCCGCAGTTTCGTTCGCTTAAATGAAGCAGTGGATGTCACAAGCTTTCTCGGACGTTAAATTTACACGATGCGCGACTATCCGCTCGCAGCCTGGTAACTAGCAGTATGTTAATGAGAACCGGTTGTATCATTTACATTGTTTCGACACCGTTTTTTGCCAAATACGACGAGCTCAGCCAATCAGCGTCAATCAGAATCGAATTTTGCACAAAGATTAGCACACTGGCAAGCAACCGCGACCTGCTCTATCTACACTACTTGCTGTGCCTCAATTTTTATACTGACTATTCTTGTCGTGACATGATGCCATTTACTGCAGCGTGGCGTGCAGCAAGAAAGACGTTGACAACTCTGCATGAATAACCCCTCCACCGAGCTGCCGCAGTCCCTATCGCCTTTTCACAGGTATTATGGTATACGTTGTACCGTTATATTATTTCTATCGTTGTTCACAACGACTAATGATGATAGATTAATGTTAGAGGTACAGAATTCCGCAAGTGTGTCAGTTGTTGACAACAATGGAAAAAGTACAACTTAATTTAGTCAAGAACAGAATTTCTGAATATTTTACTACAGCTAAACAATTAAATTTTTTAGGAGTAATGAAGTAACTATCAATTATAAACTATATTAAATAAATGATGAGAAAATAGTACAAAAATTTTGTTATTTTTTCTGATACTCCCATCGCACATTTAGTGTTATATAAATATAGCTCTATTGTTTTAATTGTATATTTTTTTAAGTTTTTATACTGAATATATAATATCACGTCAAAAAAATTTTTAAAAATATTCGCTATTTTTCAAAGCTATATATAGCATTAAAAGAAATAGAGCGTTACAAGGACACACGTGCCTTGTGATTTAATTTAATGTAATACGTGACCCAAGGACAAGGTCCATAGAACGTTGTTATTTGAGGGAGAAAGAGTGTTTTGCTACGTGGTTGGAGTCCCCGTGGCTGCTGCGCATCTGAGAGCAAGGGTGGAAACTGTGGGGCGCACGCGAGGGTTGCGATCGATGCTATAGCCCCACCCCGATGCAATCTGACGGAAGGCAGTGTCGCTGATCCGCTTGCACCCGGCTAGACGGATGCTTGAGGTTGCGAACACTTCCTCTTCCTGAGGAAGACTACGCGTTTTCAAATATTAACGGTCTAACTGTGTTGTCCGGTTGATATATGTATATTGCATTGTAATAACATGTATCATGTAAAATTATAATAACATATACAGAGATATTATGGCAGAGTAAATAAGATGTTAGCAATATTTTTCAATAGACCTACAGTAATTATTAGCTTCCATTCGTTCACGTTTGATTTATAGTATCGCCATACTAATATCGCTAAAATATAGAATATAGACAATAATGATTGCTAACTTTATTATACGAGATTCGAAACTTGTAAGTAATATTTTATCTTAATCTACGTTTTCTCCGAGTCCAAGTACTGCTATTT